TTTAAGAAAAACCCGACCTGAGACAGACCCGATGAAATTAGACCCGAGTCCGACCCGACGACATTTATTTTCGAACCCGACTGGACCCGAACGTAAACGGCATTGACGCGTGTACAGCCTGCAGCCAGTCAGGAAAAATCCCGTTGCCCTGTTGTGTTGACTGATTTGTCCACTTCTCCATTACTTTGATTTATTTAACATTTATTACATTTATTATTAGGTTAATTTATATTAGTGCCTGCCTGATGGATACAAGTGCTCCTTTTCTATGTGCGTTCCTCTCTTAACACGAAAGTGAAAGTAACCTACGCATTCGGGATAGTTTAAAAGAATTCGGGTCTAATCGGGTCCATTTGGGAAAAGCATGTTTATTTTAAATTACCCGAGACCCGAGGCCGCTAATACCGACCCCGACCCGTGTCCGAGGTACTCGTCGAAGTTATGGACCCGAACCCGCTCGGGTCTCGGGTCGGACCTCGGGTTTTCGGATCCAAGTGGACCCGTGAAGACCTCTACTTCCAACTCAACAGGAAAATGAAACTGACAACATTTTAAAGTTTTTCTGGCATTACTTAGTTGTGAAAAGGTGGGGAAAAATACAAAACAAAACTCTTCATTCATATTAAACACTGAAATATTTGGGTTGTCTTTTCAGGTTGTGAACATTTCAGGCAGGTTCAGTTCATTAGCAATTCAGAATTCCTTCCATCAAAGTGTAGACAGACAATATGGTAAACAAAGGAAATGTGAAGGTCCTAATGAGACATAAAATGCATATGACAAAAGCAGCAGATGAGGAAGAACTTGAATATTCAGTACTCAGTTGAACTTACCACACCATTTGAGTTATGCACTCCATTTAAGTTGATCTTTGTCACAAAACGAACAAAAGGAGGCGTTTCTGGATATCTTGGTCCACATTCTACTCTTAGGCTGTACATCCTGTTCTCATAGATGGTCTTCATGGAGAGAAAAAAAATAAAAAATAAAATAATTATAAAGTACAATTCTAAAACAATACCAACAACTATAACAGCATCCACACCAATGCATGATATTGTTCTGTTGCTACAGTTTTGTCATTTGACGCTTTAAAACTTCTTTAAAGCAGGATGGATTGGCTGTCAATGTTTTTATTGTCCATCAGCTTGGAAAAAACGTTCTGATAGTGATTCCAACAATATTGGATCCGGCTATTCTTTTAAAATTAACGTTGAACAATGTAGATGCCAGGTTTGGCCTTGTAACATTTACAGCTCATAATAACAACTGTTAAACATATGCCCTGATTAGTCTACATGAATATACGACTGCCAAGGAATTTGAAACCCTGCAGATTAAGTGCATTAATTCCACCAGAATTATAATGCCCCTAAAAAAAAAAAAAACATGTTCTAGAGTGGTTCATGAACACTAGAAGGAAAAACATATTTGGGCTTTAATAAGCGGTTCAAATGTAGATTTCTACACAATTCCTCAAAGAACTCGAGCTTTTATTTAAATTGATAAGTGCTGGATGCTACTTCCCTGCTGATGCATCGTAAGGAATTTAATGATTCCAGTCCCATAATGATTCTATGAACAATTTAAATTAGTTAAATGAAAAAAAAGTTCTCTCTATATAGTCCACACCCCTATCCACACTTTCCAAAAAGTGTTAATTGCAGTAACTGTAATTATACAGTAATATATAATATAGGGCGAAAACAAATACTCTCTGATTATGTAATCCCTATGAGAGGTGAATTTCTCGTGTCACTAGGCGCGTTTCCATTACAGATTTGCGCAAAACTTTGGCGATATTTTATAAATGTCGATAAAAAAGTATTGCGAAATTACGGCGTTTCCATAAACCAATGTTATGCGACTAAAACGTAACCTTTTGCCACTCGCGATAAGTCATGGCAATGGGTTTTGGCTATATTTATTCAAAGGAGGCGTATGCGTGTATCTTTACAGAGGCAGCACAGCGAGCTGCTTCAGAAACGTGCGTGGCGTGGCTGGATTCTGTAATAAACACAAGCATTGTGTGCCGGCCGCAATCAGCTTCAGTGACCGTATCAGAGGCACACTGCACCACAGACGTGTGCAGTGTAAATTGTCTAAGCATTAATAGTAGGGAA